TATACCAATTTATTTGAAATACAAAATGAATAAAAGAACAATATATTTAATGTAGAGTAAAATGTAAAGATAAGGGCTGGAGATAAATGTTCAACTCTACTCTAGAATAGAGTAAAGTCGGTGCTAGAGTAGAGATAAAGGCTGGAGATAAATGTTCAACTCTACTCTAGAATAGAGTTAAGTGTAGAAATTCATATTTACTGGAAAAGATGACACTTTATATAACGTATATATCACGGGTAAGACATTCAAGGAATTGTAAAACTACTTAAAAATAAAGTACAAAACAGAAGACACCGACATCAAGAAATTTCTTGTTAGTAAATTCCTTTGTATTTGTATCATATATTTTACATATGATAAAATAGTTTATTAGAATAATGATTATGATCAGTTTATGGTATGTTATGACATGTTATATACTGAACCAAAATTCAATATCACAATTGTGTTTATATAAAAATATTATGTTTATAAAAAACGCAACATATACTGAATATATACCGACTATAAACGCAATATATACTTCTCATTCAAAATACCTGAGAGCTGAAAAAAATTAGTTACTATAAACGCAACATATAGTTCGTAGCTGCAATATTTGTTTAAAAAAATGTGATGCATAATATACTGTCGATAAAACACTACACAGTTAAAGAAACGTCCAAAAGAAAAAAAAATATGAAACCAAATATTTCAAGTAAATTACTATATACAACAAGCATTTTTTTATTTTTATTTTTATTTTATTTTTTTTGCCATTACATGAAATAATTATGGGGCAGAATTTAATGTGAGCCATTTTTTACTTTTTGAAAACTAGACTTAGGTAGACATGTAATTAGACGACACAATATTGATATGAATCCAATTAAAATTGGCTAAAATGTAGGAATACAATTTGTTACAAAATCGTGTAGGATAGGTATATGTTCACTTTGTTTCGCTCTCCTTGTTAGAGTTTGTTTGTACCCCTTGGTCGACATTGTAATCCCAAGAGCGGTTGTACTGGTTCTAGTGGTGCCAGTTGACATCTTGAATGTACTCTTTCGAATTGTTTCAAGTTTAAATATAATTATCCTTCGAAAAAAAAATACATAAAATACCATTTCAAAACAACACAGGTGCCGGTTGACATCTTGAATGTACTCTTTCGAATTGTTTCAAGTTTAGATATAATTATCCTTCGAAAAAAAAAAAAAAAACAGAATACATAAAATACCATTTCAAAACAACACAAAAAATATCTCAATTCTTACACAAACCAATAAATTCTCCTTCAGCCGTTGATAACACATGGTGGTTGTATTTTTCATCTTTTTCTTTCTTCTAAATCCCTAACTCAAAATCTACTTCCATAAAATATCGTCGCCTAACGCGTAGCCAAATAGAAAACTACAAATGTAAAACAACAAAAAATTTCCGTTGCAAGTCTTTCTGATGTTTGTATCGTTCATCGTGTGCGGGATGAAAATGCAATACAGAGAAAAAAAATAGGAAAAAAAGATTAGGTAAATGATGACTAACATTATTGAAAACCTAAGGGCTACTAAAAGAAAGAATTTCGGTATATCTACTCCCATTTTAGTCGTGGCTCCTCTTCCATCCAAATTACCAGCTGCATCTTTCCAAGACATGCATATCATCATCTTGTTTCTATTCCACATTGCAAAATGTTACTGACCTTTTTCCTAAAAGCTTATTGTGTTCTGCCTATCTGAAGGAGCAACACATTGCCACAAGGAACGATATTCTGCAATGCTAGCAGCATCGACCCCAAGGTACTTAAGGTTACGCCCATACTCCTACACATCATATGGGACAAATTGAAAAAATTTAAGGAAAAAAAAAAAACTCAGCAGATTCGATAATTTCGAATTGAACCAGAGATTTCTTAAGATGAGTCATTATCACCTGAATATCAAGAAACAGCTGCATGCAAATCTTGTCGGTATCGGATATATTATTGTCCGACACATCTGAACTTGCTCCAGCTCGCCTTTGTGCACCTAAACGAATTTTCTGAAGAGAGGATTCTGTTTTCCTGGCCTGATAAAAAAGGTTGGGTAGTCAATAAACCGAGTAGTGATAAACATATGTAGGGACAGTTGTAGATATAAGTCGTCCTTCCTCATTTTGGTTCAAGGGAAACATGTGAAAGGAACACCGGGACACCTATATTCATAGTTTCATACGTACATAAATTTGTCAGATATATCGGTGTTAATAGATCTATCTCATTTCATTTTACCTAATATCCCAGATCATAATATAAGTAAATATAAATACTTATAATGTCCATGGCATATTGTTTCTGTGCATTGACTCATCACAGAACTGCAGAGCCTATCTTAGATTTAGGAATTAGGAGCAAAGAATATAGATCCTGCACTGATTTCGCAGAAAACATGCAACTGAACGACATAAAGACAAAGGGCAATCAGTTCCCACAAATGGGACATTATTGCCCAATATTGATTCCAAAATATCCTCAAATCTAATCATCTAGGGCAAAAGGGCTCTCTCTGAACACAACATACCACACTGACGAGTTCAGAAGCCATTTCATAATATCGACGTGTGATCTCGAAAGCAGCACCCTGTATAAGCTCCTGCTTGACCTCCTTCGTTAAGTATGTAGCAGCTCGTTCTCCTTCCAAAAAACCCTTGTCATAAAGTGGGGAAGAGAATATTACCTCTTTTGTCAGTCACATAACAATTTTGTTATGTAGACCTGAAAACCAAAACTTTAAAAATGATGCAGATATTTGAAGAAATGGCTGCACCTTTAGATGGCGCAATACCCCAGATACATAAAGTGAATGCCGAACAGGAGGAGGTTTGTTGGTCATCCTATATGTTGCAGTAATTCCTTTCATTTGTCGCAAATCCTGCACAAAATACACTCAGTTCGGCATATGGAGTTGAATAAAACCTCCATAAGTATATGGACTCCGGCAAAAACCCTTCTAAAGTTTACGATAAAACTAATCTGATGATGTTTCAGAACACAGCTAACCTCCACAGATTTCTCAACTAAAGATTCTACAATTGAATTAATTGCAAGGGGTTGAATAACTTTGAGAGAGTTTCCGCCCTGCAAAATACTCTGCTTCACAAGATCAAGTACTTCAGGGGAACACTGCTTTAGATGCCCAAGTACATGCTCAAGGTAATCACCACAAATTTCTTCCACAAGACAATTTATATCATGAATTACCTGCAATGTAGGGAAACAGAAAAACAAAAGGAGAGAACAGGTTGATAATTAGGTTTTACATTTGTTATTCTTTGGATATCATGTCAATTGTCCTAGCATTCATACATTTAACTGTTGCACATCATCAACTAATTATATTTTTGTATTCTGGAAACTGGACAATGAAAACAATAAATAAAAACCCAGGAAAAGTTACTAATTTTAAGAGAAACCCTGAAATCTACACCTTAGGTTTTAGACTAGTTAGAGAGAGGACTCTAGAAAGCTTAAGGTTAGTATGTATTTAAATATATATCCTCACCTTTCTAGAGATGCAATTGTAAAACGAAAAAAAAAAAATGCCAGAGGTTAGATTCTCTATTCTTTATTATTTTTGGTTATCAGCAATTATAGAAGTGAAGTCCCTGAGAATAGTTGATCCTCAAGGGTGAATAGTTGATCCTCAAATTGCAAGGAAAACAAATAATTCTAGTTAATTAGATTATTTTGCTTTTATTTTTGTGGTGAGCAGGGAATATGCAAGTGAAGTCCCTGGAATAGTATTCCGGCAATTTTTTTTTTTTTTTTCTCTTTTGGCCCCAAGACTGACTACACAGAATGATTCTAGTGAGCGATAGTTGGTCCCCAAAAAAAAAATGGGTCCTAGTTACATAAGGTAGCAGACATGAACAAACCCATGCCAAAATCAGAGAATAATAGATAAATGAGATACATACGTAGAGGAAATCATCTGGGGCAGTAGAAATGGCCCATTCAGATCCAGAGGTGGTGGCAGTTGCATTACCAGCTTTACGAGCATTCAGTCCAGCAGACAACCAGTTTGAGTATCTATGTCATAGATGCAGTTGGATATTGTATTTACCAGGATACTCATTCAGGTGGAAACCGTAATCATTGTGTTAAACTAAACTGGACCACAAAAATAATAATCACAAGTAAAACTAAACTGTACCACAAAAGTAAACTGACCTTGAAAGAAGTTGCAAAAATAAGCGTAAAAACTTGTCAGAGCAAGCCATAAGAAGAACATCATCTCTCCAACATGATGTCAAGCAATCCATAAGGGCTACACTTTGCCTTAATGCTAATCTTTGGGAAAAATCCTGTTTTGAGGAATTCTGGGAAGGTAAAAGTGAAGTAGCCATAAGTGCAGAATCCAATGCCCCAGCTATTTCCTGAAACCTGAGGATATGAATCAATAACTGTATCATCAGTGTTTGTCTTCTTCTTTAAATCCATTCTCGCCCAAGATTGGAGATGCCACAGGCATAAATGTAGGACACATAATAAATTCTGCTGTATACCTCAATGAGAAATAAACCCCAATATTCCATTGCTTTACGAACTCTAAATAGACAGCCTCTTCACGTAATTTAGCAACTGCAGATCTAGAGGGACAGTAACCTTGAAACCAACAACACATGTGAAAACACTGTGGCAAGAAACATAAATTATGAGCACATAGAGTGTAAAAGCAGTTTTTTTCTTACCTTCTATATAGTCCAAAAACTCTAGGCTAGCTTTATAGTTTCTCAGGAACTCGGTGGGCCTTCCAGGAGAGAAGGCCCCTGGTTTTCCTTTCTGGATGGCTGACAAAACTTCTTTCAGAATAGAATTTGTGAGAAAGCTAAAAACGTGTAGACCTGAATTTTCTGCACAAATAGCAATACTGAAACAATTAGCACAAATTCAATATTACTTTACATAACACTCCATATATATACATCACATAAAAATTAGAAAATTTTGCACAGTAAAAATATACAAGTAAACAGAAAATTAATTATGTAAGCAAGCATTTGTTTTTACTACTCATAGATTTAAATCGATTGTTCCACTTTCTGCATTTAGATACTAGAAACAAAATAAAGAATGACAAATGAATTAACAAAGAAAATTTTAGTTGCCAATCAACACAATTCACCAAAATAATTAAGGACAACAAAATACAGCATTATTTATTATTGTTGTAAGAGCACACCTGTAAATGATATTTCCAGCAAAAATTTACAATCATCTTCGATGTGTCGCTTGATCCTTTCATAGTCTTGCTGCAGCTCATCCCCCGAAGACCCGCCAAGTGCTTTAGATGAGCCATGGGGGATAACTCTTTGAACGAAAGGAGCAACAACTTTTGAGCGAAACATTTCCTCGGCGCTACTGGTATTATCAATAGAAGCATATGCACGTAGGCAATTATATATTGCATTTTCATCCCTGTGCTCCAGTCCATCTTCAAAACAGTGTCCCAAACTTGTATCCAGCAACGAGCTAGCATTCTGAATCCTCTTCACCATGTTTTCTATGAAGGGCATATTCTGTACTGCCATCAAACAGAGAATCAGAATTAATATTCCAGAACTAAAGACTGCAGTGATACATGCAAGGCTTTTCACTTGTAGGGTTAATGGATTCACACTTTCTGGTGTTGATAATATGGACTGGAAACAATTGAGCTTCGAGGAATCAGGAGGTTATTGGCTTTCATTGTTCTCTGGTTTGTCATGAAGCAGTCAGCAAAGAGAGTGCACAAGAGACAGATAAACACGCACATACATATACACAACTTTTAAATTAGCCTCATTTTATATGGAACTTCATTTATACTCCTTGTATAGAAATATCTTTAAGTAATAAACCCACAAAATGTTTGCGAATACAAAACATGGACATAATGTTGGTTCACCTAAAAACTGCTTCGTTATTTCTCAGGTTTACACGAATCTAAGTGTCCATTTCAGGTTATTGAAGTAGAATGATAGGAATTTACTAATGCATGAAAAGATCCTAGTTCTGAGTGGGAGGATGTTGGATGAATATGAACACAATAAACTGTATTATTAGCACTTGACTTTTACCATAAGTATGGATAGCGGTGGTTAAGCAATCTACTCTAATACGGAACTGCAATGACCTCTAAATACCATGCACTGTTGAAACTTTTAAGATAGCCCTGAAAATAAAATTGCTCAAAAGCAGGAAGAGTTGCTATTTTCTTAATTATTTCAAGACTTCATAACACCTTAAATATTGCTGCTCGCGAATTCGGTTTCACTTCTAGTCTTAGAGAAGCAGTAACTAGAAAAAAGAAACCACCCTATACTACGTGTAAAGCTTAGAGAAACTCCAACAGAGCACTATCCACGGTGCTATCTACATTTTGCTGAAACTACGGCACCATTTTGGGATTGACTACAGTGAATCGCCAAATATGGTGCGGCGTCAAATTGTGGTATCCTTTCCTTTTTATTTCTTCCACTTTTTTCAGCTTTTTCATTTTCTTTTTTCTTTCACATCCTCCATTTTGTTTTGATGATACATTATCTCTCTCTTTTTTTTATCCTTTCATTTATTAGATTTTTTTTTTTTCAAATGTTATTTTTTATAATTCCAATAATTAGATTATAGTGCACACCGTACCACATATTGATTCAATTTCACATTATTTGTTGATATATTACTTTATCTTTACAAGATTTAATAATTTGAGACTTTATAAAAGTTATAATTTCGTTGAGCAGCTTAACTTTTAATTTGCAAACAAATAGGCAGTTACTGATTTTAATGTTATTATTTATCTCAGTTATTATAGTATTATATGGTTGGAACTTAGAACATCCCTGTTATTCTAAACATTTTCTTTTCCTAAGTAAAACTTGGTAAATATACTGACAAAGTGCAAGTTAATATATAATAAAAATTAAATTATATTAATACTTGTTTAATTAAGTTAACAATTAGTTTTACTGAACTCAAATTATATTAACATTTACTTAAAGCTCTATGTCATTTTATTGGAAAAATAAATATTTTAATTTAATAAAATAATGAATAATATTTAGAGAATATTCCTTTTTGGTGTAAATTAGAAATGAGATTCTAGAAAATGGTCCTATAGTTTCTGCAGAAGTTTTACCAAAATAGTGCAAACTGTTGGAGATGGCTTAATCGACTTGTTTCTTAGTGAAGCTTCTGTTCTAGAAATCATGCCCAATGAAGTCAGTCCTTACGAGAACCCAGAATGAACAGCAATTACAAGGAAACCTCAGTATCACTAATACCATCATGATTTAGGTGTTTATAATCCAAGCTTTTCTAGTCCCCCAAGCCTCAACTTTTCCATCATTTGATCTTAAAAGAACTTGTAAGAGGTTACCAACTTGCATTCCAGTACAATGTATAAACAGATGTGATTTACGAGGTTAAATCTTAGAAATGGAACTGAAGGTCACCAAGAGGTTTAAAGGTCGTTTACCTAAAGCCTAGTAGTTGCAGTTGTGAACCATGATATTTGCACCCAAAATGCAATGGGATAGAAATAAATGCAACTAACCATGAAAGAGAAGCATGACGAATGCATTAACAAAGGTACAAATGCAACAGTTTCACCATGCATTTTGTTAACACATATTTCAATATTGTGAATTATTAATTATGAGATTCTTTATCAGGATGACAAGTTAGACCTGTGCATGAGCAATGTAAAACTTCAGCCTGTTCATTTCACTAGCAATTCTCTCCAGAAGCATGCTCTGTGTCTCCCTCAGGTTAGTCCCATTTTCAGCATGTTGAAAGGAAATACCATTGCTTAGTTGAATCTTTTCAGTAAAGTTTATGGTTTCATTGGGCCAATCAGCTGGAACAGTAGGCAGCTCCTTTATCAGTTTTTCAACCTGACCAGCATAACAGATACTTATCAGATAATTGATAGAGCAATTTCATGGTTTATGTTGATAATGCACATAACGGTATGATAAAATTTAATCTATTGACAGATGAATATAAAAATATTGGCAGCATTCATTATAAGAACGATTATAGGAAATAAAGAAAATACCCTTATCATGTGAGCTATGCATAGAAGGCAAATAAGCAAATGAACAAGAAAAGTAGCATATCGATCATGGTTGGCGGCTTAGATAAGAAATAACAGCTCCAAGCCACACATTTACTGAATTTATCCTTGATTCTGTCAGACCATGTAGTTTAAAATGTTCAACATTTGGTTTTTAATGGTTTTAGCAGATGTCATTGTGTTTTTGGCGATTGATGAAATCTTATTTGTACGGTTCTTGTCATACCACTTTAAAGTGGAGGACTTCAAATGCTACGAATGTGAAAAAAATACTTGGAAACACCTGCACGACCCTTCCTTATCCACACTCGATTACTATTCTGTTTGACGCTGCATCTTCAGCACATTTTTTTTCTAATAAACAGTATCTATTCACAACTCTGAAGCATCAGAAAAGGAGATCCAAGTAAGGGCTTGCTCATTAAATTTGATTACAATTCACTCCAAGTAAAAGCATGCACACAGATTTATTCAAACTTACTGACATACGTTTCACTCACTCCATAGTACCAAAACTAAGGCTCAGATTTCTCATAGTAACTCTAACATTGCAGAGAAAATTCAAATGCAGTTGCAAGAAGCAGCTCTAAGAAGACAAAAATTAACAAATTTATCCAAATAAAAGATTGTAAATTTGCTGTCCCTCCGTACAAAGAACGTGCATTGACTAAAAGCCGAATGCACAAGTAGATTGAATTCTCTATGCCATACCTTAGAAACCACATGAAATGTGTCGAGCAACAATTCCAACACTTCGCGAGCCTCGTTGGCTTGAGAGCGCTGCTTGAGCCGGATCTGGAGCGCCGCCAGCGAGTCATCAACAGAACCACGGAAAGCCAAGATCTTCTCCTTGATCTCGAGTAGCGGGGCCCGCATACGCACTACGGCAGAGTCTACATCGACGAGCTTTGTGCTGAGGCTGACAAAATCGGCATAGTCGCGGTTGATCAGCTCGACCAGCTCGTGTTTGAGAGCGCCCAAATGCGATCTGAGCTCGGAGCGCAGTGTGTCGAAAGGGACGAAGGTGCGGAGATCCGAGATGTAGGACTCCGGGTCGAATTCGGGCTCCGAGAATTTGGACGGGTTCAGCCATAATGGATGGGAATCCTCAATAGGGTCGCCAAATAAATCCGTCGCCGATTTGGGCATTGGGGAGTGAAGATCTGCAGCCATTGAAGAGAACTGACGCTAAGCTTATGGTGGTCGGAATTGCGGTTTTTTGAGCGACTATCGCCAAATAAATCCGTCGCCGATTTGGGCATGAGAGTTTGAATGTTATACAGTGAATCTTATTTGGCATAATTTTTGTTTATGTTTATGTT